CCCTGGAAATGAGGTGATCGCTACCAAGCTATTTCTAATTTGTTGTGTTGTTAATTTGTGTAACATCATGATTGTAAGCTGTTATTTTAAAAAAAAAGTCCCGCTGGGTTTCTTGCTGGTTCTTCCCAGGACAGAGGTTTTTTCCGAACCAGTGGTAATCAAACAAAAGAGTGACTTTCAATAAGTATTATTTATAATCTATATTGAATAAAAAAGTTTCTGTTTCTGTTTCTGTTTCTCGAAATTGCGACCAGTCTGACCCACGTAAACGGCGTGGCATTCGTCACAAACAAGTTTGTAAACGCCTGACTTTTGACGAATATCCAACTTATCTTTACTATTACAGATATTTCTAAGTGAATTGTTTGTTTTGAACGCCACATGAACGCCGTTTTGTCGAAGAGTATTAGCTACTTTTTCAGATATGGGGCCTAAGTAGGTCAAACTGCTCACATATCGATGAACACTTTGAGGTTGAACCGCGTACAGAGAGTTGCGAATAACATGCTTTTGTTTCTTTTTAATTAAATTGTTAATGAGATTTTTTGAAAAACCGTTGGAGACCGCTATTTGATCAGTCGCGTAAATTACAACGACTTCTATCCGTACAGGAATTGCAATCCCGATAAATCCCATTTTGCCAAATATCTTTTGGACACTGGACACAACCTAGCCAATGACCACTCCTTTAAAGTCTTACATACGTGTAATAAAGGGCTGCGGCTATGTGTGCTGGAACAGTTAGAGATATTAAAAAGTAATAATAATACCGTTGCATTGCTGAATGAACAAACAAATGTTACTAACTCACCTCTCTTAAATATCTTCAAGCCTGCTCTCTAATAATAGAGAGCCTCGCAATATGGTCGTTTGTCACCCTCACGGTGATCGGCGATTGGTTGCGTGGTTGGAGGGTGGGCGTTGCGCGGCGGTTTGTTTTTAATTTTACAAACGGCTGCGTAAGTCCAGCGGTAATTGGTCGCATGTTTTATCGCATGACGCAGTCGCTCACTCCTTAGGTAGGGAGCAGTTGCATCATCGGTCTGTATAAAAGGCACTTGTTTTGGCTCGCCGCTCACTTAGCGGTTAGCCACCGTAGAGTCTATATCACCTGAGGATGCCTCGTATAGAGGCGAAACACGTGTCGTATTATCGTCAGTGGTGTGTCTTGCCTAGTGTAGTGGTGTTGGGAGTAGCGGTGCTGGGATAAGTGGTGACGGGGATAGTGCACGCAATTGAGGGAGGGCGGGAGGTGCTCTTCGTACTAGGTAAGACACATCATTTTATTTTATAACGCGGATATTTGCGAAGTAAATTTTTGTAAAGGCTTTATATCGGCTAAATTTTTTTTTCTGAATGTGTATGCTGTTGGCCCTGCGGCCTTGACAGCTTTATCTAATTAGGCTCGTAAGTGAGTACTTACGAACTATTGAGTGCAACGATTCTGCCGAGGCACCCCGACCCCTGCTTTCGGAGTGAGGCTCCTCGAGCTGGGGGGGGGGGGCTCGATGCGATTCATGGGCCCCTCAGAAGGAGGTACGAACCTCGGCTTGAATCGCTATCGCATTTTTGTTAACGAGTCGCAAAAGTTAGAAACGCCCCGTATTACGGGTGTTAAACCTCGTGTACGGAGTGTGTCTGTGACGACGCATTCGCCGCCGAATGCGGTGTGCCCTAGTGTTCTGTACTAGAGTAGTGTCTGAGTGTGTGATCGGCTAAACTTGTCTTAACTTGAATTTCTCACTCGACTCGGTACAGGCCACTCGAGTGGTCCGAGTCATTCGAGTTGACTCGAGTCACTAAAACTTCGAGTAGTCATAAATATTACTCGAGTGCGAGTAAAATAAAAGCTACTCGAGTGAAATATGCCTCAAGTCCCATCACTAATTACGTCTAAATATTGTTATAATTAGGATAAGAGATTATTTCTATAACTTAATTAGTACCCCTTTTTTTTCTTTTATGTTGTTTCAAACAAATCAAAACATTTCCTGATGTCAACTATTTTTGGATAAATATCAGCTTATTAAAGCAAGGCGATGACACTGAAATTTGTGTGTTTATATTATTGTTTATCTTTATATATAAAAATTACGTGTCACGTTGTTTGTCCGTGATGGACTCCTAAACTACTGAATTGATTTCAATGAAATTTTGCACACTGTGTGCATTCTGGTCCAACTTGAGAGATAGGATAGATTTATCCCGATAAATGACCCTCAAAATTTTTTATTGAGAAATAAACATTTTTATAGGAAGGGTCGTTGGAAAGGGCAGAACAACGTCTGCCTGGCAAGCTAGTTTTCATATAATATATCTGAAAAATGCTCGAAACACTCACACTAAGTATAGGTACACTTTGTCACTCCGTTAGTTAAAGGCAAAAACGACTCACTGATCCGAATCACTTAAGTTTCACAAAAGATTGGTTCAGTTGTTACTGTTTCAAATGTATCATTTGGATCTGGAACAGTGAAACATTACTTTGCTCTTTGCTCATTTCGCGCGAAGCGTCGCTTGCGAGGCGACTGAGCCACGAGCGAGAGAGACAGACTGAGACAATGATTAACTTAACGATTAACTCACGAGTGGCGAGTGAGCGGGCGAAAAAATTATAATCCACACAAGTCAGATAGAGATAACAAATAAGAAGTGTATCACTCAACTCGTACGGATTTTCGCTGACGTTATTCATGCACGTAACAATTACCACTAAGGCGCTTATGTATCAAATACTATACGGTCGTTTTTTGTATGTAATGTTTGCATTAACAAGTTGTCATTTGACGTTGATGCTGCACTTGTCAAATTGTTTATATTCATTAGCGCCTGTTTACGAAAACATACTAAGTTATGTTTAGGATTTCTTTGCGTAGTGATTATTGTGACTTTACTTTCTTCCTTTTCATCATAAAGTTTAGAGTTATGATACTTTGCGAGAAAATTCTGTGTACATAGACATTGCTGTTTTGTGTAAATGGACATTTTTGTAAATAATGAATTGACATAGTGACATTTTTGTTAAAATATGAAGGAGAATCGATTTTATATACAATCTTATTACGGTACACAATAAATAATCTAAGCCCTTATATTATTCAGCATTGTTGCCACATAACATTTCACGGATCAGTCAGTAATAAACGCCCGCGACGCAACTTAATGTATTCGGAAGATTCTTTCTTTTATATCTTTTGAGTCGATGATACAAATGAGCCAAATGAAACATATCAGTGGTTCGGAACATTTCAGTGATCAAGATGCAAATGTTCCAATCCCAAAAATGATACACTTTGCCCACCTTCACCTCTTATCTACTGTAACTAGACGATCGCATATTCCCACCAATAGAATGCTATATACTGCATCCCTTCCTAGTTAAAATAAAACAACTGTAAATATTACCTTGAAAAACCTTTAATCAGATTCAAACATTAATTAAATTAAAAACATAATAGACATCAATCTTCGTGTTGGCTGCCTTCTGGACGTGTTTCACTTTCTGCACTCTGATCTTTAATTTTCCTGTCACCGTTTTCTACTCTTTTAAGGTGAACAACATTGGGTATTCTTTTCCCGCTGAATCATTCCTTACCCTAATATCTCCACCATTTACATCCGTTACTGTATGGGTCTCTGGGTTAAAATTAGAAGTTAATTTATTTTCTTTAATCATATTTTTTACGTATACTTTGTAACGGTACATCTGCATGCACCCTTACAAATACTTATTAATTAATTAATCTTAAATAGATAATAATATAGATATAATCTTAAATAAATTATAGTAATATAATATTCTAATCTAAAAACAAAAAGTAACAAATTATTACATATTGTTAATTTAAAATAGTTATTCTACGGAAGCATGGACTAGTTAATTTAATCCGCGCAGCGTGAACCATTTTGCTCAACGATCTCTAAAACAAAAGACTCGGTAGGATTCGGACACGACGACGAGTCCCCGTTCGGGCCATTCCTCCTTCATTTCTACCCGAGACCGCTTCAAGTTCGCAACGCGCGTGACCCTCCTACTAACGACCGTTGAACCTGCTTACCTACAATTTAAATTATTCGATGTGCAGTTGATCACGCTGGGGATCTACTGCTGCCTAGGATCTACTGCTGCCTAGTATCTACTGCTACTTAGAATCTACTACCACCTAGCATCTACCTACTATCTAAGCATCTACCTGCTACCTAAGGGCTACTGCTGCCGAGCCGCGAGCTAACGGAGTGTTGGCCTACCCTCCTACCAACGGCCATCATCACTGTCGGGCTTGGGCTTCACCGGCTCCTTCTGCTAGCTGGTTGTCTACGGCCCTGGGGGAACAGCGCTTGGACTTCGCCCCTACGTCAGGCCAATCTTGGCTTTTTAAGAACCCACCTATTCTGTACCCTTAACGGCACAGTGGCGCTCAACGTGATTAATCTTACTTTCAAACATTCGCTTCTTTTTCTCGCTTTGCAGCTCTCAACTTATATTTTTTTGTGAACGAGGAGGTTTCGACAACAGCGAACTGGTACGTTTTTTTTTAATAATTTAATAAGCGTTCATATCCACCATTTTATTATAGTGTCGATTGTTACGTAGAATATTACTATTACTTACATATTCTTTTGTTAATATATTTAATTTAATAAATGAAAATATTGATATTGTAAATACCCTGATAACTTTTTAAACTATTAAAAGTCGCAATTATATACGTAACAGTTCGCATCTAAACAACTGTTGATTTTGTTTTTTAATTGTGTAAGTACCTACATTAAAATTAGTAATAGTTTACACCGAATCGTAGTTAGATTTTAAAAAATATATTATAATAGATTTCAAATAATAATTTCTATCATAATTATAAATCTGGTACCAATGTACCAATATCACCTATTGAATCTAACCCTAGTACTTCAACTCGAACACCGGTTTTCTGTCCACGTTCCCGTACTCATGACCATTTGTTGAAACAATGTAAAACAGGAACGTTACCCGGTCTGCTTTAAATGTGGCTTTGATGGGCAGCCTCGAGTACTCTTTCACGTAGCTGTTTAGGGATAATAATTTTGCTTCCTCTTAGGGCTATGTTTCCATGGAAACAAATCTCCGACTGGAAAGCCTTATAAGCATTTACACATTCATCCCACTTGTTGTCGAAAACTCCATTTTTTAATGCTGCAATTCCCTTGTCTGATGCACTAGCTATATCAATTTCATTTAGTGGTACTGCTATTGGCCTACTGTATTCTACCACTGCATTTATATAGTTTTCATTATCGAATGGTACTGGATGAATGGATTCACAAAGACGGGAGATAGGGTCAGCGATATTTTGTTTGCCTGGACGGTAAATAACCTTGTACTTGTAAGCCTGCAGCCGCAGAACCCAGCGCTCTATGCGCGCACAAGGCTTAGATCTGATCCTAAAAATAGCTTCTAGGGGCTTGTGATCACTAATGAGTTCGAATTCTTTGCCCAATAGATATATTTTAAAATGCTCTAAGGCCCACACCAGTGCCAATGCTTCTTTCTCCGTCTGACAGTATCTTTTCTCACAATCAGTAAGGCTCTTATTACCAAACGCTATCACGCGGGGACCGTTACCATCAATTTGAATAAGTACTGCCCCTAGTCTAACTGGAGACGCGTCAGCTATTATTTGCGTTCTATCCGCTGGGATATAATAACCTAACGTTGGTATGTTCGAGAGTTGTCTCTTAAGGTTTTCAAATGCCTTGTCCTGGATGCCTGTTCAATATTTTTGAATGTTAGCGGACTTACCCAATTTAAGGCGTATCAGCTTCCGAAGGGCATCACAGGACAAGGCATTTGAAAACCTTAAGAGACAACTCTCGAACATACCAACGTTAGGTTTCTTTTCTTTAATATTCTTTCTTTAATAACGTTTAAAATATTAAAGAAAGAATATTAAAGAAAAGAAACCTAACGTTGGTATGTTCGAGAGTTGTCTCTTAAGGTTTTCAAATGCCTTGTCCTGAATGCCTGTTCAATATTTTTGAATGTTAGCGGACTTACCCAATTTAAGGCGTATCAGCTTCCGAAGGGGTTCTGTAAGTGATGCCAAATTGGGTATCCACTTTCCGACATAATTGACTAGCCCAAGAAAACTGCATTTCTTCGATATCTGAAGGCTTTTTTTTGAAGACTGGATTGCTTTCATGTATTTGTCTAGAGGCTTTACTCCTTTTCCCGTTAATTGATGTCCTAAAAATTCAATCCTGTTTGTCTTGTAGTTGCATTTAGCCTGATTGAGAAGAACATTGTTTTCCTTCCACACCCGTAGTACTTTGTCGAGTCTTCTGTCGTGCTCAAGCTCGTCAGATCCATGGATAATAATATCGTCTATAAAATTTGCAGTACCCTCACAACCTAGTAACAACTTTTCTAGGACTTTTTGAAACATTTCAGGTGCACACGACACCCCAAACATTAGTCTCTTATATCGGAACAAACCTCTACTTGTACTAAAGGTTGTGATGTACCTACTGTCTTTATCTATCTCCAATTGGTAGAAAGCATTATTTATATCGAGTCGGGAAAAATATTTAGCTTTCTTGAATTTAGGCAAGAGTTCATTCATTGTCGGGAGTGGGTGATCTTCGCCTCGTTTGCCCTCCTCATGTCGATGCATATCCGAATATCACAGTTTTCCTTTAGTACTGGCACCATTGGTGATACCCACGGTGATGGTCCATTGACCTCTTCAATTATATCGGCTTCTTTAAGTTCGGCTAGCTTCTTGTTCACCGTTTCTTCCAAAGGAATTGATATTCTTCTGTACAGTTGAATTACCGACTTCACTCCCTTATTGATGGGAATCTGGATTGTAATGCTTTTAAATTTGGGAAAGGTACTGATGTTATTGACAGGAACACCAATTCTAAGAGCGTCAAGTTGAATTGCGCTTGTCTTTCCCAGAAGGTTACGTGTCCCATTCCGAATCACATACAAAGTTGCTTTTTTTTGGTACTGCGGCCATCAATTGTTATAGTAGCATCAAAAGCACCGAGTACACCTAAAGGTTTTTGACTACCATAGGGTAATAATATCTTCCCAGGATTCTTAATTTGATTCGTGACTCTCACTTTATGGCTTTTCAGATGTTTCCATGTCTTGTCTGTAATAATAATACATTTACTACCCGAATCAATTAGCATATCTATAATTACACCGCCAACTTTGCAATCGATAACTGCATCGTCATCTAATTGGAAAACATAGTCCACTTCGTCAGCATTTTTCTTTGTTTGTTTGTTAAATTTGTATCTCTTTGTGTTAACAATATCATCCTTCCTTGAGTTAGTTTTGCGTTTCTGTTCTTTAGTCCTGCAATATTTATTATAATGCCCAATGATTCCATATTTTAAACATATTTTGTCCCTTGCTGGACAGCCATTACCGAACGATAAGTGTTTGCTGCTACCACACCTGAAGCAATTCTTGAACGAGTTTCGATTCGATGGTAATTTCTTGCTATCTAGCCTGTTAATTTCAGATTTGTTTGAGTCGTAAACTTTGTTTGGGCCCGGTCTATCAAACGTATCTAGTTGTCTATTCACGACTTCTAATGTAATACCAATAGTTATTACTTGCTGAAGGGTGGTATTATCTCCTCTGGCCAAGATTTTCTTTCTAAATTCCGCGCTTCAACCTTTTTCGACAATTTGTTCGATTAGATTTTCATCTTTACCGGTAAATTGGCATTTATCGGCTTGGTTTCTCAAACTTACTAAAAATGTTTCAAATCTTTCCCCTTCCTCCTGTTTCATCAGTCTAAAAATGTATCTCTCGTAATATCTGCTTTGTTTTGGGGAAAAGTATTCGCTTAATTTCTTTATAGCAATTTGGTATACATCCACGTTATCGACCTCATCAATGTGAGCCCCTGGTAAGTTGTAGTACACTTCTTACAGAGCGAGTCCACCAATGTGCAAGAGTGTGGCTCGCTTTTATCCACTAGATTCAATATTGGCGGCTAGGAAATATATTTCTAGGGCTCTCTTGCACTTTTCCCATTTCACCCCAGCTGAAACAGAATCGCCTTCACACTCAAAATGGTTAAGACCCGGAAACGCTGATGCTATCTGGGCCATTTTGGGTGATGTCTATCCTCGTCGCCACTTGTAAAATGCTCGAAACACTCACACTAAGTATATGTACACTTTATCATGTTAGTTAAAGGCACACCGAATACGTCCGCACGCCACGGCCGTCCACAGTCGACTGTCTTCACCTCTTATCTACTGTAACTAGACGATCGCATATCCCCACCACTAGAATGCTGTATATTACAATATCATTTAAATACTAGCCCATTCCTTAGCGCTTATTTCCGTATCTTATGAAAAAAAGCAATGAAATAGGCTGTCTACTGATTTCATCACTGGCTCGCCTTATTCAATTATTGAAGGCAATATTTGTTATGACTTCGAAATTAGTTCGAAGATGACTGCTCCTGTAGCCAAAAAATATTTGGTATGATCCTATCTATAATTAAAATAGATTAAAGATTATGTGCATATTATTTGATGTTAGATAATTTTTTGATACTGTCGTTTAGTATCCTAATGATTATAAATTCATTCGTGTGAAGATTCGTATAAGTGTTGTATAATAAAATACTATGTATATTCCTATTATTTAAAAAGTAATAAATGTTTCAATTATACATAATTACACACATTTGATGCACAAAGTAATAAGAAGTGCATTTGATGTATTTTTTTCACATGCCGATTTTATGTACAATTTTACCGATATTTGTCGACAGCTCTATCGATTTCAGATTTTGACGTTCGTGTAGTGTTCGTATTATGGAGTGTAGAGTACTAGTAGAACCGTCTTATAAGGGGCGAGGGTTGAAAAAGTGTCCTACTATTTACTGAAAATAGAGGTTCCAATACCTACCACAATAGCGCTGGCGTCTGAAAAACTACGATATGAAGATAGCTGTTGTGAACGGAGTGAAGTCAGTTGAATTCAAATGTTTAAAAAATTTCATGACTAGAGTAGTTAGTAAAATGCCAGTATACAAAATCTCAACTATTTACATAGTACAAATCCAAGCGGATTGGTCGGTCCTTGTTTATTTCTCCATCTTATTCTAATTACTTTTGGCGCTTTTTTTTAAATTTATCTTATGCTACTGCAGCGCCACCCTTATTGTACACGTTTTTAGGGACACTTTTCATTTAAGGAGATGGTCCTCCTTCTACTCTACACTCCATAGTTCGTATTCGTAATCGAAATCGAGGTTCGAGGCTTGTAGACGGTCGAGCTCGAGACCACGTACCCATAGACTAATATATAATACTGGAGACTAGAATGACTGCACCTGCAGTAGGGATGCTCGATGTTGCAGAAACATCGATGATGACATCGATGTTGGCATCGATAGGTTAACATCTCAGATGGCAGCCGGCTCAGATGGCGTTAATGTAGCGATTATGGTCAAATATCTCACCACAAGATTTTTTTTTAATTTTAGATATGTCGAACCAACAACATTGTTCTAAACGGGCATTGGATCTTGCTTAAGATCAACCATCGCATTTCTAAAAAAAAAACAACCGACAAAGAAACAGACAACCAACAGTGGCACCACAGAATAACAAAGCGAAATCAGTGAGAACTGCGACATTACAGTTGACACTTGACAATTAAATTTGATACACCATAATGATATATTTTTAGGTTATCAATGCGTTCAACAATTCTGAATTATTCAAAATTTTAAATATTTTAGAGGAGATACAAGATTTAGTTGATATTGATTTCGCGGGTTCGCAGTGTATCGATGTTTGACACATGGCAACATCGATGTTAAAACATCGATGTTTTAATTTTTGACATTGAACAGCGATGATCATCGACCATCCCTAACCTGCAGTACAATATTGACGTTAGCTTGCTACATATGTCATATTTATTTATCTATGATTGACATTTATAATTTCATGTGTTACATTGTTTTGTGTACCTACTAAATTAAATTTTGTGACACTATAATATAAACAATGTTTCGAACCAATTTAGTTCAAATCAGTTTTGCGTATAAGCTTGTCTTAAAAATATATTTATTGAAGAATATGTTTTAATAATCCGACAAAATCAAGTTTGCAAATTAGCGATTGTGCGTAAATATGGAATTGGACATAATCAATTGGAATAACAAAGAAGTTTTAGATTTATTAGAAAAAGACAAAATTTCCAGCAGCATAATTGAAATATGTAAATCACAAGACATAGATGGACAATGTCTTCTATCACTGATAGATCGAGACTTTTACGAATACCCCTTTGATCAATTAAAACTTGGTGAAAGGAAGAGATTCGTATTGCTGGTGAAAAGACTACAAAGAAAAAATCGAGCATCTATGTTCGAGCTCGGGCTTTGTGATGATCCTTATTTCAGTAATCCAGCTACGAATATAAATATCCTCAGAACTAATTTATCCCATTTAAGTTATAACCTACATAATCAATTACAGAATGAACTTGCATACAGCAGAGACACAGACTGCATTTCAAATTTTACTCCTGAAGTGAAAGCATCTAAATTAAAACCTGAAGTTTGGAAAACTTTGATTGCTCTTGGTGTGTATGTTACTTTCCAAAATGTTAGCTGCTCTATATTTAGATATTCATGACAATTAAAATTTTACTTTTGTTGTATTTTGTAATTATTGATACTTCTGGGAGTTATATACTGTAATTTTGTTTGAAGGTTACGTATTTCTGGTTACATGGTTAACAGCTGTAGTAATGGTGATTGTGCATGATAAGGTACCAGACATGAAAAAATATCCCCCTCTGCCAGATCTCTTCTTAGATAATGTACCACATATTCCATGGGCTTTTGATATGTGTGAAATAACTGGATCTTTATTGCTGGCCATATGGCTGGTTGTGCTGTTCTTCCATAAACATAGGTTAGTATTGTATTTATCTAAAATCTCCATTTTAAAGATAGTAGTGTAGTAGAAATAATGATATGCTTGAATATTTTGTGATTCCAGGCATAGATTATATTGTCGCTACTCTGCAAAGGGGCAAACCTCAATTTTAGAAAAATTACAAAGCAGCAAGAAAACTTATTATTCTCCATTACTAGCTTCTTTTCATCAGAAAATTAATCGTATTTGTACTTTTCCATTAAATCTAATATTTTTATTTAATGTTAATTGAATTAGATCTAGTAATCAGGAAAACATAAAAGTTTCCTTGCTCTCCTGTATTTTAAAAAAAATTGAGGTTCACCCCTTTGCAGCACCAAAGACTATATCTGTAAGGAATCCAGTTTGTAATATATCCATTTATATATATAAAAACAAATCAATTTTGTAGTATTCTTCTGAGAAGATTACTTGCAGTTATGATTTTTTGAAGTTTTTTTTTAATAGGATAAGATTGACAATCGAGCACACAGCCCACCTGATGGTAACTGGTTGCTGTGGCCCGTAGACATCTACATTTATCCTCAATTACGAATCAAAATGCAGATGCGTTGTCACCTATGAGGACTAAGATGGAATGCCTCGTTTCCAGTAAAAAGGGTTTCCGGTTCTCTAAACTCACCATACGAAACAGCAGCATTAAGCTGCTATTTTACGCTGGTATTCTGTGAGAACG